AAGATACTTTTAATAGCTTAATATGAAATTGCCAACGGCAATATAAACCATTATTATCACTATTTACACGCTAAATGAGCAAACATAACAGTATTTGCAATTCAAGATTGAATTTAAATCGGTATAAAAACATAAATTTATAGTTTGTGTTCATTTTAGCTGCCACTTAAACTTGCGTTAGAAACTGAGATTTATTTAAAACATAACTTTACTCCAAATAAGACAAGATATTGACCACAGTTCCTGCCACAGAGCTATAATGTACTATATCGTATAGTATATCGGTCATAATTGAAGGCTGAAATTTAATAATTGCTGTATATAATTTTAATTCATGAGATGGAAATACTTACTACCGATGTGAAGAAAATTACTTTGATATATTATGCAGCAATACCTACTTCATTAGTTTTAAAAAATTACTAAATTCCTTACATTCCATTTCAGCGTTGAACATAAGAACGTGTTCTTTATAGACATGTCATAACTAGCTTTGTTTTTAATATTTTAGCGTCACTTAGGGATGAACTTTATGTTAACAACAGTTTAAGTAATACTACGTTAAACTATCATGGCAGCAATTCTCCAGATGGCTTCGCAAATAATGATCATATATTCGCGCCAATTGCTGCAACAGTAATTTCTCTACTGCTAATATTCTTACTTCATTTCCTTTACAAACGATATTGTCGACGTCCACATATATCAGCTCCACGTAAGTAGATCTGTTGTTATTTATTTATGTTTAACAAATATTTAGAAACCTTGCACTAAGATCTAGTTTTCTGCTGTATAGCGGCGATGCTGATGACAAANATAGAGACAGATATTAATACTGATATCTATGAGCTCCATTCAGCTGTCATAAACTGAAAAGTTATTTTATTTTCATTCAATGTAGATACTGCTGCTAGTTCGCAGACTTACTTCTCTCATCAGTCCTACATTACTGGAATGCTATTGCTAATACTAAGGCATTATGTCTTCCCTCTTGAGGCTATTCCTAACTGCCCTCTTATACCCGCTATAAACTCTCCATTTTCCTTTTGCTAATATACGCTACATTAGAACATTCTTGATATCGCTGATTCTGTGCAGACCAAAACTACAGACTTACAGCCACTCCCTTACACTTACAAATACAAATTTAGCAAGTGCAAGTCGCTATGTCTAGGATACTAACATATGCACCATCGGTGGAGGACGAGATTATATAAACTCGAGCACTAAATTTACTATTCAGTTCCATTTTAATCATTTTTAGATCCACTTGATCATTATTGCTAGGAGTTTTCTAAAGTGCTTTTTAGTAGATTCTCTTACTAGGATTTATCTCAATAAAGTAAAGTCCTTAGACCTGTTACCCGTTGGCAGCTTATTTGTGCAGTCGAGAGTTAGTTCAACTATAATAAGTCGCCTAAGCCAGTTGGGGACACGAGTCGTCGTGACAACAGCGTTTATGACCCGTTCGAAAAGGTAATTCGTAACAAAATAATTAAAAATTGCTATTTAATTTAGAATCTTTTTAGTCTTCAGATTTCATAAGAGCCTTTAGCTTACAATAATAATGGCACAGGTACATCTGTAACAATCTCACTGCTACTAAGTTAGGTTCGTAGTTTAAAGATCTTAAGGTCTAAGATACTGAAATAGATTTCTGTAATAGCGTTGAAACACATAAACTTCAAGATTTGGGCACTGTAGTGTATTTATTTTCACGGTAGTTCTTAGGCATGTTCTTAAATGTAGACATTTTGTTACGTTCCGAATATAGATACCTCTACAGTCTATTTCAACTATGCTCAAATATAGCTTGTCATATTTAGTTATTTATAGCAACTACATTCTTTGCTATTTCCTACAATCATTTACTATCATGTAGGCTGTTTATGGTATATGATGTATCTAATTCTACAATCTTTTTCTCTCACTCTAAAACTATGAATACTGATGATTTCTGCTACACATTTATTCAGTTGCACGTTTTAGGGTTAGTATCTACACACATTACTTCACGACAGCTTACATGCTGATCTACCAGTAACTACCACGCTGTACCTTGTTATTCTCTACAATAAATATCTTTCTTTCTAATATCCCCTCGTATCATTATTGCGAAATGCCTAAGGAGTCCATGTCCGTATACTCTTCGTCATCACATGCACAGGCCTATAAGCTGTCAATCCCGGCTCTTAGCACTTGGTATAAGAGTGAATACTGAAAACCTTATGCACCGATTCATCATCAGCCATGGCCCTCTAACACGCTTTATTTTAAGCAAATTAAAATCGCATTATTTTAAAGGTTACAAAAAATTTATTGAAAGCTTATTACATTTAATAAATATTATTTGTAATTAATGTTTTAATGACTATAGTTTTAGTTTCTTCTATGGTAATCGAACCATACCATTTTTTGTTTTTGGTCTGTGGCCTAGAAAGGCATTTTTTCAGTAGATTAGATTGATGCCATAAGAAGTACATTAATATTATAATGCTAGTCTGCAATCACGGAATTAAATAATTATGGATGCTAACCTTCGTAAATGCAATTAAAGGCCTATACAATTCGTGAATAATATTGTTTAACTTGTAAGAATAATATTCATAGTAATCCTTCTCCTGTTGCACTGCAATTCCATTTATTTCAAGTAGTTTATTGCCCAATGTATTGATTAATTTTTGAAATTCGTTTAAACTTTGGACCTACGGAGTAATCCCAATGCATCGTGATTAAAGCTAGTAAATTATTCATGATAAAACTGATTTATTCTAGTATAACTGATAAAGTGAAGTTTAAAGTAAAGCCACCTCGTCTTCTATAGTAGAAAAGATGTCTGTAATTCTCTTAGTATGTCTATAACGCTTATTATAATTATTAACAAGAATAGACAATTTACTACTCATGCCATCTACTTACCATATTAGTAAAACTGTTTCGAATGGCATTACAAATTGTTGACATCTCACTCAAATCATCACTCCCTAGATTTTTAAAGGTACAAATACAGATGTTAATGCAGAGACATAAGATACTTAGAGAACAGGTAGCGGAAGCAGATTTATTGAACTTCTCCTCCAAAATGTTATATTTATTCTTGTGTTCCAATTTAGCGATGCCATTACGAATTGCCATGTCAAGCAGATTATCGGTT